GTATGTATGTATGTATGTATGTATGTATGTATGTATGTATGTATGTTGTATGTATCAGGTATATCTAATCCAAACAAATTAAATTAACATATAATTAATGGATCACAAACACTAATAGTAAATGTCAAATTTGAATTACCAGGTAAGGGTTCGAAAAATTGGTTGCATAAAATCAACAAATCTAAACTACAATTATGACCAATTAGAGGTTTTTTCAACTTAAATAGTAATTTAAGTAAATACTTGATTCCCATCATGTTATCAAACAAACTTTGTTTAAGATTTTTTTTATATAATGAATTATTCAATAAATCTACATCATTAATTTGTTTTACTTTTGTAATATTTAATCCAGATTTAACCTTAAAAACAAAATGTATCAATATTTACAAAATAAAGTATGTAATTAGACAAATTATTATAGGGATTCTTAAAATAACTATTACTTCATGTATAAGTATGTTTTTATAATTTTTCAGCAGATAATATTGCATTAAGATAATGCAAGCTGATTCACTGCATTCATTTGTTTTAAAAAATTGTGTTTCTCCATATTTTGCATTGTCATACCAGGTAGAAATAATTTTTAAAATTTTATCTAATTCTATTTTAACTTTAATGAATCTAGAAGTATTTTCAAAATAATTTTCAAAAAATAAATCATCTGACATTTCTAATTTAATCATTATTTCTTGTTCATCAGTCAAGTAAGGAACACCTCTGGAAAACAACTAAAAATAAATGTTAACTTGTTAACTAAAAACTTACTTGCAGTTAATTCATTTAAAATGTATAAAATTTACCTTATTAAAATCAAATTTATGTCTATTTAAAAATTCCATACAACTTATTTGAAAATGAACCTCACTATTTGATTTACAAAATGTCTGAGGAAAGGTATAAATTGAGTAAGCACGTGTATTAAATGTTTTCTTAGTGATGTCATAAGTAAAAATTGATAGGCCAAATTGTATACAAGTTATATCGGATACTTTTTTCCTTAACAAACTATACCGTTCTTTAGGTATATCAAAATAACTGAAAATAAAAATGTATATTTTAAAATATCAGTTCACAATAATTACAATTTCTTACAATAGATTCTAAAAGTAATTTTAATATTTTAAAAGCATTTAATTAGGTAGGCAATAAAATTACTAATATTATCTACTACTACCTAATATATTTAAGTAGTAGTATAATCTATTTGAATAAATAAATATTATAACATAAGAAGAAACTGAAAATCAAATATAATATTATACTATTTACAAATATTCAATAAAATATTATTCATAGTTTTAAATAAATTATCCACATAATATTGAAAAATTAGGTAGGCCATCCATCCACAATTTAAATTTATCAAATAAAGCCATTATTTCTTTCTCTTGTATTTATTTGAGTCATTTAATTCCTCCGATTCCTTTAAAATAACTCTGAAGTCTGAAT